CTTCTTTCCCTCCCTTGGTTATTGCTTGGATATTACCCATTGTTGTGCTGCCATGGACATGGCCAGGAAAAAGGAAAATTTATTCTTACTTCCCATAATTTTCTTTTCCTGGTCATAGGCCATGGCAGCACAAAGATCCAGTCCTGGAATATTGCTGGAAACAAGACTGAGGGTGGGAGTGGTAGGAGGGGTTTACTTATACCTGCTGTTTATAGATATATATATTTAAATTCTACATATTTATGTAATATTTCTACATAATTAAGTCATTTTATTAATTACAGGCAGAAAGTCTAAAGAATTTACTTTGCTAGCACTATATTTAACCCTGTAACTTTCCAAGACACCATAAAACCTGTAGATGGGGGGGGTACTGTTTTACTCGGGAGACTTCTCTGAACACAAATATTAGTGTTTCAAATCTGTAAAATGTAATGATGATATCATCAGTGAAAGTGACGTTTTCTGCATTTTTCATACACAAACGGCACTTACACTGACAATATAATTCTTGTTATACATTTTACAGTTTTGAAACACTAATATTTGTGTTCAGCGAAGTCTCCTTGGGAAGTTACAGGGTCAAATATGGCATGTTAAATTTTTCAGTTTTTTGAAACTCACAATGTTCACAGATGACATTATGCTATCACTCGAATCCCCTAACACGACACTCCCGCACCTCCATGACACCCTAACCAGATACAGCGCTTGCTCATACTACAAACTAAATATCATGAAAACACAAGCAATGAGAATGCATCTACCGACCCACACTCTACACAGCCTAAAGAGAGACTATTCATATGAATGGCGCACTGACCACCTAACCTTCCTAGGGGAAGCCTTCATGTCCAACCCTCATGCACTGCCGCATGCCAATTATGTCAAACTAGCACACAATTTAAAGAACCAGGGGGCGGAGCCAACCACTGAGCCGCATGGACGTGCACTAACTGTGCTCCCTATCCAGAAAGCACAATCCACAGCCATCGGGCACTAAATAAGCAAAATGGGACACCCAAAACGAGCTAATGCAGGGCACCAACCCTCCAACAAGACACCCGCTGGGAAATCTGGAGTTTTGACAAGATATTTTAGAGACACCGCGGAAACTCCAGGGGAGTCGGAAGGCCCAAATATGGCGTCGGACTCACCATCCCACCAATCTCCACCAACTAGCCCTTCGGGGTCTGAAACATCCAATTGTCAGACAGAGGCAGACATTAGGAGCCTGCTCAGAGCCCTACCTTCAAAAACTGATATAGCCATGATGCTAAATAAACTGGAATCCACATTTCAGACAAAGCTTGAGGCAATAGGAGCAGACTTCCAGCAAACCAAATAGAGAGTCTCGGTCCTGGAAGATGACAGAGACACACTACAGGCCCAAATAGGTGAACTAAGAGAAGCGATGGAAG